GATGATGATGATGATGATGATGATGATGATGATGATGATGATGATGATGATGAAAACTGCAAATTGGGCGTTTTATTTTCTTGAACAAAGTACAGTATGTAACATGTATTGTCAATTTAGAAAAGGAGGAAAAAAAACAATCTCATCGTGTGCCAATTACACAACCAAAAAAATCTTGCGCTATTCGATAAAAGTACATTATACAACAGCAATTTTTTAAAGTTGATGGAAGGAAAAGTATGGGGAAGGGGGAAGAATGGGGTAAGTAAGAACAAAAAAGGAAGAGTACAGAAATACAGGAGGGTATAGAGAACAAAAGATAGAAAGGAAAGGAAGGAAGAAAAAACAGGGGCAGAGAATTTATTTTTTTTTTAAGTTAGAAAGGAAAAAGGGAAAGGATGAAGGATGAAAAGTAGGCCAAAAAGGCTCGGCGAAACAGAGTTAAGTGTGACAAACAACAAAAAGAGAAAAAGAGGCGTGAGAGATGAAATGGCCGCACGGAAAAGACGCATATTACATAGGAAAGAGAGAGAGAGAGAGAGAGAGAGAGAGAGAGAGAGAGAGAGTGAGAGAGAGAGAGTGAGAGAGAGGAAGCAACAGATAAGGGCAGTCTCTGGTTATTGTTGGCAGGGTCTTTGTGGTCCCTCCAGAACCCAGCAGCACCTCTGTAGTTCTGTAGCTCTCCAGCATACAATAATTCCACCGGAGACGGCGATACGGCCAGATCAGCAAAAATGTTGCCTGTCCGCTCAGCTCAAAGGGCCCAGCTCGTGTGGTTTTGATAAGATAGCAATATTAGCGGGGGTTAACTTCTGAGCCCCTTTCGCTCGCTGGCTCGCTCCTGGATTGGTCATACAGCCGACACTGCAGCAGACAAACGTTTTCAACGTCTTTGAAGTCACAATGTGAACACAAGCAGTTGGAGATGGCGCTTGAGAAGGGAGATAATTGTCGTTCCCTTTGCGGAGATTATCCTTCCCTTCTATTTTCAACACGTCTGTTGCGAGTCGCGATTGCACGCGTCGTTTGTAGACAAGATAAAGAGGCGTCGTTTACCGGAACGGTGTGCGGGAGGAAGAATGCGGTTTGCAAGGCTGTGTGTGTGTGTTTGTGTGTGTATGTGTGTGTGTGTGTGTGTGTGTGTGTGTGTGTGTGTGTGTGTTT